CTGTCACGATCGTCATCCCTCCTCTTAAGAGTAACTTAAGAGTGCTCCGAACCTTTTGGAGTTTAGTTTATTTCGTGCACCTGCCCCCTGTTTAGTCTGTCATTATTTAAGCCTGGCGCTCCCACTATTCCTGGCTCAGCATTGGAAGATGGACGCCTGGAAGGCTCCCCTATCACCGAGCTCTGGAGTAGCTCGAGGACATAGGCCTTACGCCCAGATGTCCTGATCTCTGAGCCCCGGGGCTTGGAGCACCTTGTCCTGTGCCTGTCTGATGCCATGTTTCTCCCTGTCTGTGTTCCCCCTTCCAGGGATTTTAATCCGTCTTTATCTTCATTGATTGCCCGGCTCTGGAGTTCTGGACTGATTCCTGGTTACCCCTTGGACCTGAATGGATTTGGATGTTATCAGATCTTTCCCCCTTTTCACTATGGCACGGATTACCACTGTATCACTGCTGTCACAATAAACCTTTTGTGTCTTTCCCGAAGTTTGTCTCCTGAACTCTCCGGATAAACCGCCTCGCGCAGGGTCTTAATACAAACCCACACAGGAGACTGAGTTCTCCATTCCCGAACGCTGAGCCTCCCGTGACAAGAACATTATACTATAGGTTTCCATATATAAAAAAACAAGATAACATACAACAAATGCTGAAATTCCTGTTAAAACAAATATGCTTTTCAAAAGTGACAGCATGTTAATTCGACCCTCAATTTAATTATTATAGCTTTAACTGTTTAGCAAGTAGTGGAATAATTCATTTTCCCCAAAATGTTTAGAACTGTGTTAAAATATCACAACAGTCATAAAGTGAAAATTGTCAGCCATGTAATAGAGAAAGGCTGTTCTTTTGCCTTTTTCGTGATTTGGCATTTACACTGCTGCCCCTCTTGATATATCAGGACTATGATTGTGGGTCTGAATTCTAAAGGTGCACAAACTCACTAACTGTGTCAGGAAAAGAATAACACAGTCAATGAGTTGCTTCACTATGAAGAGCTAGGCAGCTGTGTCTCAACCGGTATGTTTGGAGAAACTTAAGTAAAGATTCAACAAGCCTCGTCTCCTGTTAGTATTTTTAAGTTAATATTATAGTATAGTCTATACTAGTTGAGCAGTATTGCTCAACTGCTCAACTATGTAGAGATGCAACTATCTAGAATGCATGTCAAAACCTGCGTAAGCAGTAAGCAAACTGTGGTATACTGCACTCTGTTTTGGCATACCAAATTTACCACTTCACTGCTCAAAGAAGAGCAATAGGTGTCATTTGTGTTAGATGAAGTAAAAGTGAAATGGTAGCTTCATTTAATCTGATTTGTTCTTCGACTAATAATCATATTTCTTGAAAATATAACATATTTTACGTGCTATATAAAAATAAAAATATTTAGCATAGCTATCATTTTAAAATTTAAATTTCCCCCACAGCATGTAGCTTCTAATTTAACGACACGAGCCAAATACATGCACAAAAAAACCTACATTTCCCATTGTTTCACATACATTAATGAATCCTGTAAAGTAATATCCACAGATATCCAAATTGTACATCAACTGCAGTATAATATTAGAAGCATTCTTGCAGAAAGCCTTAATCTAAATGACATTATTTACACCTCTGTTATTCATGCCATCATTAAAGTTATCATTAAAGTTATATAATAAACATTTTGAGAGGTACACCATAACTCATGAGCAAATTCCAGTATTAAACATTTAAATATATTGAACCATCAGCTACTATACAATGCAACTTACACCAGGCGACTTACAACTTACAGGCAACTGCTTTGTTTTTATGTGTTTGTACAGTATGCTTTTAAATATGATACGTTTTAAATTCACTATGTATAATATAAATCAAAATCTATAATAAAATTAGCTGTTTCCTATTTACTATTTATACACACTAATAATTCACACTAATATATACTGTACGTAATTAAAAAAGGAGAATTCTGTAAGTGTTATACATTTGGAGTTGTGGTAGCAATATGGTAAAAACATCCTGTCTTAACAATGTAATCATTGTATTTAATGAAATTGTTTGTCATTAGTATAGTATGCGTACAGTATGTTTAGAAGGAAAGCACTAATTGGTTAATAAACATGTAATACTGTAAACATTTGTCTGACAACCACATGCAGCTGCAATACTTTAAGGATTCACTGTGCCATCTAGGAGTTTTAACCAGTAGTGCAGCTCTGCATCAAATTATTTGAAAAAAATAAAAAATGCCATGACGTGCTGCAGTCCGGGCTACTGCAGTGCCTTCAACAGAATACTGACAGACATATTGCACATTCTAGATGGCTGCATCTGTATAAAACATTTGAGACATTACACACATTAGGAATGGGTTAGCTAAAAACTACAGTATGGGGTCTAAATCAAAGAAACAACTTAGTCCTAGTTCTGCTTTGCCTGATAGTCAGAATGAATTTAAACAGATCAACAGATCAGTCACAATCTAGATATGTTAATGACAGAGCAACTTTAAGATGCCATTAATTGTATTTTGCAGGTATGCACTGGTACAATTATTCTCACTTAGTCTTTTGTAGATGACAAACTGATACTGTGTTTGTTTTTTGAAAAAGATGCACATAATACCTATAAACAACATATTTTGATAAATTGTAAATGTATTACTAAATACAAAGTAATCAAATGAAGCACCCACAAATGTTTTGAAGTCAGCACATAAATTTGGATGCAGTGTTTGAAAGGAACAAAAAGGAACAAAATCAGAACATAGCTTAGTGATTAATTCAGTGTAGAACATACTCCTGATACTGGCACTTAATAACTTAATAGATACAGATAGATAATATTAGATACTCAGTTTCAAGCACTAAAAATGTCCAAGGATCTAACTAATCTTAATTTCTATGTAATTTGCTACAAATAATCTTAGGAAACATGGAAGGTTTTTAGCATTTTTTGCTGAGTAACAGGACAGTTAAATGCAAAAAAATGAGTATAAATAAACTGACAGCACTGCGCTGCATCCCAGACACAAAGAAATGTAAAATCAAAGAAAAATTTGAAATGTCAGTTATTGGAAAGCAGATTCCAAATTTACCAGAAATTTAAATGTGTTTCTTTTGCCCTCTGGTGGTTGATTTAATATTGCATACCAACAAGAATAATGTACAAAAACTACATATCTTACTATCTTACTGAGCAGTGAACACTGCTCTCATATGTTTAACTAAGAGACTTCTAGATTTAAAATGTTTAACCCTGTAAGATAATTACAGCCTTTCATATTACTTAAGGTGAGAAGGACCAACTGAAGCTGACTCTGTGTCCTGTCAAAGATACCAAGATAAACAGTGCTCTTGTATAAGGCACCAGACTACTGGATTCCCAGACATTATAACAGGAAAACTGTCCATTAATACTTCAGCTCAAGACTCAATTAAAACAAGTGGAGTTTACTGTGTGGCATGCATCCCGAAATCCATTTCAATTGCAATTATCTAAATGTACTGTTTATGGTTGCAATCTATCAGGATTCAGTATGTTTATTTCATTTTATGCTAAATTATGTTACTCATGCCAGTTTAATACAGTATGTACAGCATGTCCAAGGCCATGTGACCAATCAGCAGTTAAAACTTTAATGCTATAATGCTAAAGGAAATTTTACATAAAATTGTATTTGCATCGTACGGCAAAGTTTTTATAGCCATCCACTACACTTCATTAGTGGAAATTATGTTTTTTACAGCCCAATAACAACAGAGTTACTATCTTAAATCTTGACAGCTACAAACACTCTTACTGTAGCTCATCTTGACCTGATATCTAACATATCTAACATATGCAACTTCTAATATACGTAGGTACTTCACAGTTCTACAAAGCCAAGAGATAAAGAGATAAAGATCTTTTATAAAATATCCCAAGTTTTTACATATTACAATCAAAAACCAAAACAATGTTTTAAATACCATATTCCAACATGTTTCAAATATGTAAGGATATTTCTGCAGCTATTCATTGAGTAGGATTATGTGGATAAAAAATGATATGCGCACAATAAATAATAAAAGAAGACATAAGCATAAGTAACTACTGTACAATAATAATTAATAATTGCTTACACTTATAAAGTGCTTTTCTGGACACTCCACTCAAAGCGCTTTACAGGTAATGGGGACTCCCCTCCACCACCACCAATGTGCAGCATCAACCTGGATGATGTGACGGCAGCCATAGTGCGCCAGAACACTCACCCCACATCAGCTATTAGTGGGGAGGAGAGCAGAGTAATGAAGGCAATTCATAGAATTCATAGAATTGGGGATTATTAGGTAAGGGCCAATGGGAAATTTGGCCAGGACACCTCTTTTCAAGAAGCACCCTGGGATTTTTAATGACCACAGAAAGTCAGGACCTCAGTTTTATGTCTCATCAGAAGGACAGCGCCTGTTTACAGTATAGTGTCCCCATCACTATACTGGGGCATTAGGACCCACATGGACCACAGGGTGAGTGCTCCCTGCTGGTCCCACTAACATCTCTTCCAGCTGCAACCTTAGTTTTTCCCAGGAGGTCTCACATCCAGGTACTGACCAGGCTCACACCTGCTTAGCTTCAGTGGGCTGCCAGTTGTGAGTTGCAGGGTGATATGGCTACTGGCATATCATACAACATACCTTAATAATAACCTTAATTGCTCATCTATACTTGTCTTATACATTTTTACCTTCTCCTATTGATCCAAGAACTGAACTCAAAACACCACTTCAAGTTCTTCTAGATTTAGTTATTCCCTTTGGTCCTGCTCTCCTGTTGCTGGATTAGCATCATACATTTCCTGTCCAGTAAACAGTATTAGCAGAAATATTTGCAAGCTGAGCTATTTGTTTCAAATAAGATGTTGATGTCCAAGCTATGCAATTTTGCTGATTCTGACTAGTGACCTACAGTATTATAGTTCCATCGACAAAAAAAAATAGAAATTTAAAAAATCTTTGCAACCAACCTTTTTTGCCTTTGCCTTTTTCTCGTAAGAGTCTGACAATGGCTTTTTCTTGGGCTGCAGACTGGCTTTGGAGAACAAATCCTCAAACTCTTTTGTGTCCATGATATTTGGTTCTTCCAAGGAGCCCCATAATGTGTTATCTCTAGAAAGACAGAAAGAGGACAATTTGTTTAAATGTAAGATTTTAAAGTAATGCAATGATTGTAACAAATCTGTAATTGAAAAATAGATGACCCTATTTGAATGTTCAAGAAATTTAAAATCATTTTCAAACTATTCTATTCTATTCTATTCTTTTTAAACACAAAACTCTAAATGCCATAAATATTGAAAAGAAGAGTGAGTAATTCTATATTCATAGTATACTACCATAAATTTTAATTTAAATGCCAACCATAAAAGTGTACATCACAGGAAGTTGTAGTATCCAGCCACAAACCACTTCACTAAAAAAGATAACATTTTCATCACAATAATAATCCCCCTTCAAAACAGATTCGTAGAAACTTTGATGTTTTTTATTTCTTCAAAAATAAAAAATAAAGAAAATAAAAAAATATTTTTTATTTCTTTCTGACTTTCAAATTAATGTGATTTGTCGGATTCTTGGCTCATTTCAGCCAATATGCGTTTCAAACCAGCTCTTGTGAGCCTATGAAAACTTTGATTTCCACTATTGCTAAGTAACAAGACAAACACAGAGAATCATGTGCTTGAAAAGTAGCTTTAAGATGGTAAGAGTCCCTCACCTTAATATTCCCTTTATGGGCAAGTTTGATCCTTTCTATCATGAGAGACACTCAGTTAACAAAAGTACTATATGTCCTGACGTATACCACACATCACTTAGTCAAGATGTCCTGTTGTTTAAATAGATTCAGATTAATCAAATTACATCAGTATTTTATAAAACACAAAAATGTTACAGATACATGACAATTGTTAGATGGGTTGTTAGATTTTAATGGCTATGTAAGGCCCAAACAACAGAATTCCACATCTCAGACATCAAGCGTTGGCTAAACACAAATAAAATGCACATTTCCATGTCTTTGTACATATTCCATTGCAATAAGTACTGTAAACATGAAGAATAACCACAGATTACCCCCAGGTTTGTGGTAGAATTATCCCCCACACCACCTTTGTCAATGTGATTTCCAATGCTGGTCAGCAATTAGTGGTTAATTCCCTCTGTGCCAGGCTCTGCTGTTGCTTAATCTGTATGAGATGTGGATGAAAGATACTACCAGCTCAGATCATGTCCCTGTGTGAACTTACATACATCAACACTTTTCTTAAATGTCCTTCTAGACTTTTGTTAATTTATTTTCTTATAATCATTTAACAGACACAATAATAAGATGCAAAGGAACAAGTTGAAAAGGAAGGAAAAGGAAGGTTTATTCCATGCTAAAACGAGAAGAAAAGAAACACATCACACATCACACAACTTCTTTACAGGCTCCACAGCTGAAATGTTGTGTTTCTTTTCTTAGCCTTTCAGCATGGAATAAACCTTTACTTGTTCTTTTGCACCTTCGCATGCTGATGCAGCTACCTACTTGAATGACTTTAATAAGATGACTTACACAAAACAATAGCAAAGAAACACGAAGCAGAGGAAACAATGATATAATGAAGAAAGTCATATAACAAGAAACAAATACTCATGTTTGTTTCATTATACAAAGAAATCATTAAATTAGTATGTGTCCAATATTCTGTTTCATTGTTCATCTTCTATTTAGTCTGTACCTTTCAATGCAAAAAATGCAACTTGATCTCTTTCAAATAAATAGACAAACATGGCAAGCTACACCTTTTTAACTGCCTATGTACTGTACATATTTTTAAACTAATCACAGTATTCGGAATTTTAAAAAGAGCAACATATATCACATACTAACATTGTTAAGTATCATTCGTATTAAAAGTCAGTTTAATACAATTCAATACAAGGGAAAACTATTACAAATTGGACATATGAATACAGAATCTACTACTTTAAAATCTCTGACAAAAACAACGAAAATATGCAGCTCTCCATTGTCGGACAAAATTTACTTGTTAAAAACGGCCAGGTTCTGTTTTAAAAATTTACGGCCAGCAGCCATATCACCCTGCAACTCACAACTGGCAACCCACTGAAGCTAAGCAGGTGTGAGCCTGGTCAGTACCTGGATGAGAGACCTCCTGGGAAAAACTAAGGTTGCTGCTGGAAGAGCTGTTAGTGGGGCCAGCAGGGGGTGCTAACCCTGCGGCTCATGTGGGTCCTACTGCCCCAGTGTAGTGACAGGGACACTATACTGTAAACAGGCGCCGTCCTTCGGATAAGACGTAAAACCGAGGTCCGAACTCTCTGTGGTCATTAAAAATCCCAGGGTGTTTCTCGAAAAGAGTAGGGGTGTAACCCCGGCATCCTGGCCAAATTTCCCATTGGCCCTTACCAATCATGGCCTCCTAATAATCCCCATCTATGAATTGGCTTCATTACTCTGCTCTCCTCCCCACTGATGTGTGGTGAGTGATTATTATTATTATTATTATATTGAAGCTTGGGAAAGAATACAAAAGGGATAAAAACTTACAAAGCAATATTGAAATGCATCAGCATCACACTAGGTGGCAGTCTTGCTAGGCCCAGGACTGAGCAACATGGGGTATTAAGGTTAGGTTATAGAATAGAAATAGGGACAGGAACACTGTCAGTGCTATCTCCTTTCACTGTGCAACAGCCCTTACTCTTCAAAAATCTTACATCTTAGCTTCAGGTTAAGGTCTTTTCTCTTTTGTATACTATCAAGTAAAAATACATGGTTTCCAAATACAAATATTTTACTTTAAATCCCAGTTTATACAATAAATCTCAGTTAATTCTATAATAAATATCAGTATAAAGTCTTCAACTGTTCACAAACTAATTAACAATTTACTCAAAATTTTCGTTCTCATCAGTATAGATGGTAATAACTTCAGTTTGAATAATGAAAATCGAGGTGCTCAGCATTAGCTAGCAGTTTTGATAGAAATCTCCTGAAAATCAAATTCAAAACAGGCAAATTCTAAATATTCTAAATAGTTGAATTTGACCATAAAAAAAATTTGAACAGGAAAACCAATAAACAAACTATATACCTATAACTGTACCTTACGTGATTTTGCTTATAATAATCTTCCACTGATGCCAGCCGATATCTAAAGAGTGTGTAACAACATAGCATTTTATGCTAATACACATAGACATTACAGGCAAAACAATCATGGGACAAACTGCTTAAATTATTAACATATTCTACTATTCAGTATTTAAAGAAGACAAAATATTATTTGAGATCTAGAGGACCTACTATAAATGACAGATAATCAGCTGTTGGTTAGGTGTAGAAAAGGCAAAGGAATTGTTGATTACTGCATGTTATCTAGAATCCCTGTAAAAAGTTTAAATTATTCTGAGAATAAGAAAATATTATGCAGAAAAAAGTGAGATTAATAAAGGGAAGTTTTTGTTGATAGTTTGTACCAGTTTAAAATGTTCATTTGTTCTGTCCACTAAAGTGATAGATAACAGTGCAATATTAAACTTTTAGCTTATTAACCTAAATGATGAGAGTAGTACTTCCTTTGCCTAATAACAATATGCCATTTTGCATACACTGTTTTGATCATTAAATGTATAGGTTACAAATTATGGTGCTGGCAATGTATGCTAAAGTTCGCAAGCTAGCTGTAGATAGGCAGAAATGTATTTCTTGCAATGAAGACTGCTTGTTTTAAGCTATTTAACTTCTGTAAAAGCACTTTTGCAGAAGATGACTTGAACAGCCAACCCACAAACCAAACAGTACACAATGGACATGACTGTAATATGGTTTAAGATACTGCCACCAGCAGAGAACAAAGACTGATTGGAGTACACCACTGAGGAAGCATGCAATAGTATCTCTGGCTAATGTGAGAAACATGCAGAGACAATGCCAAACAGGGCGGCTATGAACACCAAGAGGTTTTGCAAGAATTTCAAAATTGCCAATAAAGTACTAAATAATTTCATGACTGAATATTTTCAAAATCTTTTGGTTTTTCATGTCTTGGAACAGAAAATGTTATGCATAGCATAAAACGTGTTCCACTTACTAATGATTGAGGTAGTAATGATGTCACATGCTGCTTAATTAGCTGTATATATGTATAAATGTATAGTCAAACATTTAAAGTCAAAACATTTGCAGTTGTTACCAAATATGTTTCATGAGCTATTGAAAGTGCAAATAAAGATTTCAAAGCATCACACAGAGTAAATCCCCCTCTGTGTAATTGTATTGTATTTAAAATACAATACAATCATATATTCCAAAGACACCAAAAATGACTTTATTCTTCACTATTGTAAGAACCTGATTTAGTTTGGATACATGTTCTTCCAAAGCTAAGGTAGTTTATTTGTAATATAAATCCTTTAGCTCTGATAATCTGTTGTTATCCTGTAGAAGTGTAGAGGAACTACTGAAAAATTCAATGTTGAACTTACATTGAGAACACAAGCCAAAATACCATTATTGAACAATATGAACTCAAGTGCATATAGTAGTTACAGGTACAGTATGTAAAAAAAACAAAGACACAAGCTGGAAAGCAAAAAAGGTAATTAATTTACTAGTAGGAAAAAGAAGCCACTACACAAATGTCAGATATTGTTTCTAATGAAAATTTGATGAATTTCAAGATAAACCATATTCATAAAACAGTTTTCAATTAATAAAACAGATAAATAACTCCTTTAGGACATTATATTCACAAAATACCATGAACACAATTTATTCTAATAATAATTCCCTACACATACAGTATATAGTTATTTTCTGGACACTGCATTCAGAGCGCTTTACAGGTAATGGGGATCCCCTCCACCACCACCAATGTGCAGCGCCCACCAGGATATTGCGACAGCAGCCATAGTGCACCAATATGCTCACCACACACCAGCTATTAGTGGTGAAGAGAACAGAAGGATGAAGTCAATTCATAGTTGGGCATTATCCCACCTGCTTAACTTCAGTGGGTTGCCAGTTATGAGTTGCAGGCGAAATTATAGAAACATGATGACTTGAGAATGGGTCAAAAAGTAAACAACATGGATTTTGTTTCTGTATGAAAGAGCAAACCTTAAAGCACTCTGGGATGCTAGTTTATGTTGTGGACTACTATCTAATCTTCAGCATTCAATTCATTAAAACTCCAAAATAATGCAACTTCTGCTGATCATTTCCTGTCCAAAATCCCAGTGCAGGTCATGATACAAAGAAATCGAATGCTCCATTTCCATTTAATTTACTGCAAATGTGCTTATTAATAAGGAACTGAGGATTTTATGATCTTATGATTCAGGTCATTGCCATTTTAAACGTAAAATAATACGTAAATAGTACTTACCGCTCGAAATAAAAAAAATAATAAAATAATTCTTCAGCTTGCACCTTAAAGGGCCTCATTAATAATTCTCATTCAGAATAATTCTCTAGCTTCACCTCAATGGACCCATTGAGGTTTGTTGGAGAAGAACATGAGCCTAGCTATTGTTACTCCTTAGCCAATATACTGTATATACAATAATATATTAGTGATCCATATGAAACAAATAATAAACTACTGCCAAGGTTAGCTTGTTTGGACTAGTTCCAATTTCAAATACCATGTGCTTGACTAAAATGACAGAATTCTTTTCAGAACCCTGAGAAGACTGTACAATAACCTTGCATTTGATTTATGACTGCCATATTAGAACATTTTAACCTTAAAGGGCATAAAATGCAAATTCACCAGCACTGGTAGTAAATTATTTCTTTCTCACTACCAATTCTTTCATAAAGCCCACATGCTAATCTTTTCTATTCAACTAAGTATATTTTGATAAAGCCCATAAAACAGACGTTAGTCTTCTTGCCGGGCATTGTTTAAAACATATTTTCTATAATTTGCCACAGAAGTTCCTTCTGCAAAATCCATTAACAGGATGTATCAACTTGTAGTTAAATGCTAAACTGATGTTATGCTTGTCAACACCAGCTTAAGCTGTTAAAGTTGTAAAAAATGAAACTGTGGTCACCCACTTATAGGACATCATCAGCCTGGTCTACAATGCACTGTAGTGCTCTGGGAGCTGTCCTGCTTTTCTCATCTATGAAAATATGGGGAAATGTTAACAAATTTAAAGATGGAAGAAAGAAAACACAATGTTTCGTCCGTGGAGCCTTCTTCAGGTGTGTGAAGAAGACCTGACACACCTGAACACACCTGAAGAAGGCTCCACGGCCGAAATGATGTGTTTTCTTTCTTCTTTTTTTCAGCATGGAATAAACCTATTACTTGTTCCTTTGCAGCCTACCGGTGCTGACGCAGCTACCCACCTGAACTACTACAAATTTAAAGATGTTTAGTTGATTCCAGTTTCTTCAGGGCACTTAAAAAGATTAAAATTATTTTGATTGAGAGAAATTTAGAAACCATGCTATTAAAAGGGTGGGTTTGTATTTTAAGTGCATTCAATTTGTGCACCACAATTATGAAGACAGGTGGATAAACAGGTGGTTAGTTCCACTACTGGATTCAATTCTTGCCCTGGGAGTCTGTCTGTGTATAGCCTGTATGTTGAGGATGGATTTTTACCAGGTGATCTAATTTCCTCCAAACTCCAAATACAAGTTGCCTAAATTGGTTGTTCTGAATTGGCCCTTCTATGTCATACTGTCTCTTGTTTTTCAATCAATTATGACAGATTTGGGGATTTTTTTTCCAGCTGCTAAGTGCACAGTTAGAAATGCTAAAATTAAATAAAAAATAAATACTTTATGATGTAAAATTCCTTATTCATATTTCATTAACTTTATTCGGACTGCAGTAATGAGGGTCACAATGAGAGAACATAAGCGCCAAATCACTTGTCGAAAACAGAGCTGAACATTTTGATAAAAGGCTGTGCCTCAGATGTGCAGTTTTATTTTTTACATGCAGAGATAAGAACTGCAAGGAATGCGGAGCTCAAGCAATGTATAGTATAGGCACTTACTTGCTCTCTTGGATTTGAATCCTTGTCCAGTAGAGGGGCTTCATAGGGCATGTTGGCTCCAGTGTTGGTTTCCGGGGTGCCTTTTCATTCACTTGAAAAGCAAAGCCTCCGGGGAAAGGAGGGGGAGGAGGGGGTCCGGCCCCTGGCAGAGGAGGGGGAGGAGGAGGGCCTGCCCCTGGCAGAGGAGGGGGAGGAGGGGGTCCTGCCCCTGGCAGAGGAGGGGGTGGAGGTGGAGGTGGGGCCACAGAACCAGGCAGTGGAGGGGGAGGGGGAGGGGGAGGGGGAGGCTGTGGTCCTGATTGTCCATGAGGGAGAGGAGGAGCAGGGGGTGGAGCTGATCCTGGGACATGCTCCGTTTTTCCCGTAAAGCTCAGGTTTATGGACTCAATGTCAAGTTTTTTAGGCACATTTTGGTTGCTGTGGGCAATTCTGTTGTCTTCTTCAGGAGTCCTGATGAAGGTTTCTCTGTCTGTCTGGATGCACACATTGCGGAAGGTTTTTGGGGGCAGATCGTCTTCAGTAGACACAGAGGCCTCTCTGAGCTCAATCCCTTCTCGGCAGCCACTGTTTTCTAGGTCTTTTTTGAGCTTCGCGATGACCTCTTCAAGCTTTGCAACAGACTCAGCATGTTCTCCCCGTATTTGAAAGATCTGGATTTCAAACTCTGCCTGTGAAAGAAAAAAAAGTTATTCCTTGGTTATATTATCTGTCTGTGTCATGAACACTGTTATTTTCAAACTCAGAAGAAGCTGACCAAAAAACGTTTCATAAGAGAGATAAAAACCTTTCCTCTGCATTCATCGTGGTTCATTAAATTACGGTTTATTGTGTCCCCTGACCTTCTCAAACATGTTTTTAATGCGTAAGTTATAAAATTTACATCTAGCATTTTCCTTATCTGTTGTGCACAGTATAGCTACTGCATACCTACTGTAGGTATAAATACACTTTATATAGTCTTAATTAGTATCTCTGTGCTACATGGGAGATTATAGGTAATAAAAACAAGTAACACAAGACAAGATCACAATGGACTATATAATACAAGTTATTAACTTGAAATTAACTTTAGCGTGGGAGAGAAACTGTGAAGATTAATTCTGTTAAGATATTCATGGTGTTATATGTTATTTTTGGGAAAAGAAAAAATAACCATATAGTGATTTTCCATTTCACATTGAACAATAAATAGGATAATATTCTCTGAAAAATATCTTTAACTGTCAAAAATTAATTGCATTCATATTCAGATGTTATATAATTCCATTCCAATTTCCTTTTCGGGATACCTGATGACAGTATAGTAAACACACATTTCAAATAAATCTCTGAACTAAGAGCATTAATCGAACTAAGTCTTTCTTAACCAAACATTTCAAGCTGCATAATCATAATAAAATAAAATGTATTACTAAAACCTGATATGAATCAAATGTTCATGGATATAACTTATCCATGGTGATAATTTACTCTTAAAAGTACCTTCATTTATCTCATCCTATTATGCATTTTATCATACTCATTTCAATCAGTCATCATGTCTTATGGTCCAAGGTGAATTACAGTACCTGTCTGCTTTAATAAAAACAGATGTCCTTAAAGTTGGCAAGCATTTACAGTATTAATCTATTTGAGGTGTAGTCCTTAGAGCTGAAGAGCCTATTAATCTACAGATAATTTGGTTTTGGTCATTTAAATTATACTCTGATATAAACTGTGTTATAGTTCACAATGTCATTAAGAATCAAACACTGGAATTATTTTCTGTGTTTGTTGATTGTATTTGTGAAATATTTATTCCTAATCAACTGTTTGTGTCTTTGACTTTTACCTTCTATGCGAACATGTGCAGTCTGTACCTAATGTATGAACTTTAGGATTCATAAAAAAACAGTTAATTTACAATACTTGAACATACATTCTGTTTTATTACTGTTATGAACACTTAAAGCAACAGCTCAATATCCTATATAATATATGCATTAAGGCAACTTGGAAAAAAGTGCCTTTGTTAAAGAGAGTGTGAATTCAACATTTGTTCTCCATAAAAAATGAAAAAAGTACCCATATTGAAGTTCCAGTGTATTCTGTTCAATTACAATGTTCTCTGTACAGCACAAGAACAAGCTAATTAGCTGTGCATTTATTAAATCATAGTGTACCAGAATAATTAACATGTAGTCAGTTCACAGGATTTTGGTATGCGTGCAGCAAGATTCAAACTTAAATTAAAGACTAGACTATGGTTTGGAAAGAGACAATTTTGTAATACATTTAACACATGTTCTTCATTTTAATGTGGTCTGAACAAATTTTAAAAAGATCAAATGCGCCAGCTCCAGTGTATAGCTTTAAAGATCTGTATGTTTATGAATGTCAGCATCAAGTTTAATTTTTAAAACAAGTCAGTCTTGCACGCAATCCAAGATCATGACAAATTACTCAGGCTGCACAAAATCTCTGCCACAATCTTTATCTCAGGGGAAACTAATAAACTGGAAGTTTAAAACCAATGGTACAAACAACTGACCTCAATTAAAAGCATAATTCACAGTGAACAAGGATAATTCAAAATTGAGAAAGCAAAACTTACTTAGTTTAGTGAGGGCATTCTAGTTTCATGAGACAGTGTTTTGATTACTTTACTTCAGTGCCATTTCTAAAATCAAGCACCTGTCCCTTGTCACATGTCACTGTATGTCAAGCAAGTCTATAGGATAACGAACAATCAGGTGCATTAGCACTTTCAATTTGCTAATCTCCATTATTTGGTATGATATGTAAAGTTCAATAATTTACTAAACATACCAGAATCTAAAGCATTGATATAAATTACAGTAGGAAAAGCTGTGGTCCTAGTACAGATCCCTGTGGTACAGTACATCAGAAATTACATTATTTTAATTTGTCATTTATGAACACTACTACTTCTTCTATGCTGATAGTAGTTTGAAAAAGAACTTCATCCTTCTGCAGCCTGAGACATGTTGTTTATCATCATCTGAATGTTAATTATGTTTCTAGAAATCTTCCATTGTTTTTCCAGGTATATTTTAGGTTAATTCTCATTTATTTTTTACTTTGCAGCACCAAAATATATTTTCTCCCTTTCTCTCTAGGCCTTTCTAAAATCCTTTTTTTATATTCTGTTTAAACTGTCGCTATACATTTTCAAAAGATTTCATATTTATTTATCCCACTTTACTTCTCTGTCTTATTCTTTCATAGTTTGTTTTCTGAACATTGTAAACTTTTGATTAGGACTCAGGAAGTAGACTTTCAAAATAAATAGTACTTTTTAGTACAAATTTCACCATATTCTGATCACAGTTCCCTTATAGTTCTCTCACCACTGTTTGATTCTCTAACTTGACTGTCTGAAAAAAAAACAAAATCTATAAAGCCTCTGACTGTAGGTGCTCTGACGAACTGTATAAAAAAGCAGTCATTATCCATGCCTACCATTCTGGTTTTTGTCCCAATCTATGTGGGGAAAATTGAAGTCTCCCATAAAAACTGCTTCTTTTCCACATATATTTTTTTTCATAAAATAGTGTAGAATAAATTGCAGTACAGATTCAGAAATGCTCAAATAATGCTTTAGTTCCCGAGCCTGAATACTCCCCTCTTCTTTTCAGTACAGTGTGTGTTCACTATCACATTCATCTACTGAACATTATTTTTGGTTAGCCATGTTTCTGTCCTAGCATTTAATCATAAGCACTTTGTTAACACTAGGTTCTGCATTTGGATTTTTCCCTTAGGTTTCCCCTTTGTTTTTGTTTTCCATGTAACTGCTCTTGGGATTTTCTGTGGTTTCTCTCCCCTTCAACTTAAATTTAAATGTTTCTGGATTTCTTTCGGAATTCTTGTGCCAGGGTGACTGATGCCCATTGATGCAATCCATCATGTCTGTACAGATGTCCTTTCCCTGGGCAAGGTTTCCAGTGGTCAACAAAGTTGAAGCCTTGTGTCCTCACACATTAACATTATTTACATTTTTTAACAAGTTTAGCAAAAAGACACAAGAATAGCATAAAGAGAATAGCAGATTTTAAACTACAGTACACTCCAGACCAAATACATTTACACAAACTTTCATTGACCACCCTTGGCTTCTCTTGTAAAACTGGAAAAACACTATGTTTCAGAAAAGGAACAATAAATACGACCAGATTTGTGGTAAGACAGTAATTCACAAGGTTACGCAATCCCATATATTAAAAAATAATAGAAACCTTGAAACTAAGGATAAGACAGCTCTGACCGCACGTTTTAAATAAATAGATTCTTTGGATACATACAGATTTTAATGGTCTTTGTATCCCTAAACTATGGAACCCAATCTTGTTTCATGCAAAATACTGGCAGAAGATTTACTAACTGCATCTGGAGACCATTACAACATTAAAGTAAGCATTTTTTTCTGGACTGCAGTAAAACATGATTCTCATGTAAGGAAATGTTCTTAAATTTTCCCAATAAGCACCTTGTGTTTGTAGGATGTTTGTTCAATAACAAAATAAGTACTCTCATCCTTCCAGGATGCAGAACCTTGACTACTGTGTTGCCTTGAGTAAATCCAAAATTATATAGAGCAATTCATATGGAGTGTCACAGTTGCTCAGCATACAAAACTGCCACCTGTTCACTATGTCAGGCATTCATTTGAATTACAATAAAGCTCACAGCTGAAAATCCAAGAATAACAATAGAACAGATCACAGACATTGCATAATTTATACTGGCTTTAAAATAGGTCTCAGTAGCAATCAAGAACTAGATGAATGAATAAAACTGAAAAAGGCTTCAGTTAATGCCAAACCTTCATATATCTAATCTGAGGTATTTTTAAATATTCAATGTTTGACATGAATGGCATATTAAACACTCATGACTTGATTTCTGTTTAATTAAATATTACTCCACAAGGGATTTTCTTTACAGTACAAACTAGCAAAAACAATCCCTGATATTTCAGTTACTTAGACATTTTAATTTAGAAGCAGGCACTAGTATCATTTATTTAATTTGTTTAATCTTCCCATTAAATCTCCAAAGCAAAATAGAAAAGGCTGAATAAAGCATGTTCTCAGATATTTTAGATATCCTCTTGTACATGAATGCTTTCCAAATTGTACTGTAAATAAAAAAGGAAAATATAATACCAATATGATACTGAAACAGTAAAGTATCTTGTACCAATGGCAAATACTAGAAATCCCATAAAATTGAGAAAATAACTCTTCTTCAGCATGAATTTAATTTTATGCTCTTAACAAAAAGAATAAATAATAATGTTTCCACAGTTCAGATTAAACAGGAGATAAAAAATTAAACTCTGGGTATCTGGCCTGATGGGATAGAAATCCAAGTTGAAAGACATTAGATTACAGAATAGAGGTGGACGTTGGCCAGAGTTTTTCTCCCAAAAGGATGCGAATTGTGTGCCACTAAAAAAAAAAAATGAATATCAGCACAATCAAGGTGCACAAACAGCAAGGGTTTTCTTCGTGTGAATGAAAAAAGAACCCGCGACTTAATAACATTGGATATTCAACATAGGGTATGTTAAAAAATCTTTAAAAAATAAGCCATCAAGGGTTTAGGAAATGGCTCTTCTAAATGTACATCAAAGACCCACATTCCAGTACAACTGGCAAACGAA